CTCCAGGAAGAATTCCCTGCGACGAAGAAAAATTCTCCTCTCGTTTTTTCCTGCCGATGGAAAAATTCATTTTTTTTATCGTAAAAATTTGTAAATTCTAGTCAGTCTGCTAGGAACCGATTTCTTTCCTCATATCTAAACAACACTACGAAAAAAAAGCCAGTGAAGATATTATAAACAAGTAAAAACACCTAACATGAAATTTCAAAATTTAAAAAAAAAAACAAACGAAAAAGTTCGAAAAACTACAGTTTTACCCGTCGAAAAAAAAAACGAAAAATACTTCCCTTGAGCTCGACTGTTTTAACAAGTATTTTTCACATTTTTTGGAAAAACAAATCCAGAAAAATCCCAAAAAAAAGCACATCATGCAACTGCTTGTACCGATCCTGTTGGTGTTGTAGCAGCTGCTGCTGCTGCTGTACTTTTGGATGCATTCTGCATTGCATCTACTGTTGGTTTCAGATCGCCATTTACAAGCGGTTTTCCAGCTGATGTGCTGCTGTTGCTGCTGCTGTTGCTGCTGTTGCTGCTGCTGCTGCTACTGTTGCTTGTACTACTGTTATTCTTATTGCTTGTTGTAATAACGTGATTCACAAGACCGTTTTCCAGTCTTGGCTTCTTCGTTACTGGCGCAAGCATACTGTCCTTTTCCGCTGTTTTTTTCAATTCCTCTTCATTCTCAGCAGTAGTACCATCAGCAGCATCACCATCTTCACCGTTGCTGTCTGCATTTTCCACTACCACTGCAATAATATGCACACTTATTATGCTAATGATGAGGCGACAAAAAAAAACAGTGTTCTAAATTACCCGGCTACTTAGCTTTGTCTAGTTCCTCACCCCCTCTCCTCCTCCCCCGCTTCTCCGCCCCTAAACAGCAGCTCATCTCAGCTCATCTTATAGTACTAGTTTATTAACATATTCCTTATAAAATGCGTCAAAATGAAGGGCTAACCTGTCAAATGTGATGGCAATGAGAAGTGTTACCTAAGGATATTTCAAAAGGACACTTTGATGGGAGACGAAAGCAATCATTCCAGTAACTTCTAATGGAGTTATAGAAGGGTTGCTACTACCTCAGCGGCGAACAGATTTGCTAACTGAAACAACAGCAATATGGAGCACGACAAAGAAGATTTTTAATATTCCTAATATTATTATTCTTTATTCCTAATATTAATATCACTCTTTATTCTTTATATTAATTCTTAATATTATTCAGTTTTTTCTCATATTATTTTCCCAAATATACAGGCGATGGCGAGGATTATAATTACTCTATAGATGCAAAAAATCATTTCGTTTGATTGGGCCTCGAAATGGTACTAAAAAATTTTCAGTTCTAGCATCTCTTCAATTATTCAGCCCCTTTCAAATTCATTTTCTAGCTGACCCTCCGGTTCAACGCCTTTTAATTCAATTCGATTCAGTTCTCTGTTTTCTCCTTCTTTCGCATATCCGTCTTGCAAATTTGTTACATGACTGTTCAGTACATGGCGGGTAGGAGGCTGTACTGATGATCCCTGCTCCTACCCGCACGCTTAATTCGGTCTGTGTTTACGGCTAAGGGATGAAACAAAGACTGCATCGCAAAATATCTTCTTACACATGACACCTAAGCCCAATCCCTTCTACGCTACTATTTCAAATAGCACCAGTTCCTGTGTGCCTGATTTATTTTGTTTTCGTAAATATGTTGACACATCCACGATGATGTATTCAACTGCGGACTTTCTCTCTTAACACTATGTCCTTTCCACTTCAGACTTTTTTCCGCCCTCTGATCCCCTCCATTCCTTTCAAAAAATCTTATATTTCGTATTTTAATGTAGCTGTCGTTAACATAATGGTGCTAAAGACAGCACTTCTTACTGCAATTCGTTTTTTTTTTTCTGGCGCATATCAGATTATTCCATACTACAGATTTCAGTTTTCAAAAATATTCATTACACTTCACTACTGCCTTATATTTATCCGTCAAACCATGTTAATAATGCTATTTAAGTTTAACACAAATCACAGCATCTAATATCTAATAAATATTAACGTCTCTGCCCTAACTTTAAGGTTCTTTCGTAACTCAAATTTATCTTCATCTTACGCCCACACGGCTAAAGCTGCATGTTCTCCCAGTTTTTTTCATCCCTCAACCATAAAGGGGCTGAATTTGAAATCTTTGAGTTCTACGTAGACGGGGAACAATCCCCTGAAAGTTTCAGCCTCTCAGCTTTTCTGGTCCCGGAGTTTGCGATTTTCCCACCAAAACTTTCACGCAGAAGGAGGAAACAAGCAGCCGAGAGGATTCTCTGGGAAAAGAAGAGCGGGAAGAGAAAACATCTCAAACTGAAGGGCAAAAACGTTTAGTAGCTAAGTGGAGCAAATGAATAAACCATACCTTTTGGGACGCCATTATGGGCAGCTGGGCGTTTTCGTGTATTTTGTGGCTGCTCCACTGTATCAGTGCTGTCCTGTGAGTCTCCTTTGGCAGGTGCGGTATCACCGTTGGTTTTTTCGCTCGATTTTTGAGCGGTATCAGCACTTTTTTGTTCCGGAGAAGCTTCTTCCTGAATGCTTTGCTTCTCCTTTTCCGCATTCTTGTTATTACTGCTTTTGCTGCCACTTTCTGCCTCCGACTGTTCAGCAAGCTGCATTGCGAACAGTACTTCCGTTATTATTTGACCAACTTTCGAGTCCATCTGTAACTATATGAAGTGATTGTTTTATTGCTACAGTTCGCTTTTCAGATGCATAATATGCCACTTTACATTTCATATTTGCACTACTGCCTTTGCTTGTTCCTTTTCCAGGCGCGATGGAGTGTAAATAAGAAGTACATTCCCAGTTCTCTTGTAACTGTTATTCAATGATTATTATAGATTTATCCTAATCCCCTTCCCTTAAGGAGGGATCCAATTTGTTTGCTAAGGAGGAACAGGATGTGGGGTCAACGAAGTAGCAAAGACAAAGGGAAATTAGGTTACTGGGGGCAAAATTGGGATTTTAGGGGCAAAATTGGGACTTATCGTTATAAAATATTTCACAAAACACTTCAAGTTTCATTAATTTCTTAACACCACTAGTTTCCTTCTTCCAACATTAAAATATTTTTATTATTTTATTACGTTCATAATGACAGTTCGTGTGGCTTCAATATTTCTATCTCTTGCATTACATGGTTCATTCTATTCTTGCCTTCTTTTCTACTTTCTTCATATTATTTTCATGCTACAATCATGCGATAATCAGATTAGTATTTTTGATACAAACAAAGTCTTTACCAGATGCGACATGGTGAACTGCAGCAACCTTAGTTGGTGTCGCCTGAAAAATCGCCGACAAGTTGGTACCCTGCATAGCTGCTGCAGTATTGATGCGGAGCGCCTCAACATTGGAACCGATGTTCCCATCACTTCTGGATTTTCCCGAAGCGCTTGAATACCGTGCTGTTGCGCAATCTGAAATTTAAGCTTTTTTTTAAGCTCGTTCAATCTCATCTTTTTTAAATCAAACAGCAATTTTTATTATGATCAAGTTTCTCTGGAGTTAAGAAGACTTTAAAAGTCCGTCGCCGAGCAAAGTTACGCTGCATCATATCTATATTTCTAAGTACATAATGATAAAAAAACGTCCGAAATGCCAGCAATCTAAGCATCAGGCAATGGGAAGTATGGAAAAGTTGTCAGCTGTGTTGCATCATGACTCTCTCCTAGGTAGGTCATGTAATGGCGCGAAGCGGCCTATGTAAGGTCGCTGTGTCAGTACTGAACAGCAGGGTCGATCCAGTGTGGTGTTGCGGTATTGTGGAGGCAACCCAGACGATTCAGGAACACAGACCCAACCAACCCGAACTATCGCCAAGGAGTCGATGACCCAACTCGATAAGCCGGAGCACCGGGGCAGTCGACGAGCCCCTTAGCCATCAACCCGGCAGGTGCGTAGCTGCAGAAGCATCTGCAAATTCTCCCCAAAGCGGAATTCACCCTTCAAAAATATGGACCCATGTGAAAGATGCAGCAAGAAGCTCAAAAAAATGAGGATCAATGAAGCTGTAGTGGAACTTTGCATTTAGCTTAAATGATTTTAGAAAATGAAAAATGTAATTAAAAAAGTACTGCAAAACGAACTTGGTGCATATTAGCATCACCCATTTCTAGGAATGCAACCAAATTGTCAATCGCTGGTGATTCCGCTGCTACCACGTAACAGACCTGATCGGATGCCGAGCACAGTGCGTGTAGGATCACGATTGCGAATTCCCTAAATATCATACAGATGACATTATTTTAAAAAGTATTGGTTCTACCGCAATTAACTTTGTTGAATGTCCCAGGGTAAGTTATTTTAGCGGTTCGGATTCCTACCGTGAAATGAAAACAGCACCCAGCTATCTGCAAAACACCGCTCACATTCAGGGGCTTCAGGTATCTGTAACAACAATGCTTCTAAAACCTGAATTGGGCTTTTCCAGAAAACGTGCAGCTCTTCCTCTTTCCCTCATTTTTTAAGCCTTCGAAATGTTTCGGGAATGAGAAATTAAATTAAATTTTGTTTTTTTTAAACTCAAATTTAAATTAAGTTTATTATTAAACTAAACCATTGAACCAAAATTAAATTAATTAAATTAAACTCAAACGAAACCAGAAAACTGGAGTAAAACTGAAATTATTCTAAACTAATTTTATGAAGATTAATTTCAAATTAACTTTTTAAAAATAAATTAAACTAAAAACTTAAACAAACCTGCTTGGTATATCTTCACTCAGTGCAAGCAGTTCAACTAGTATTTTGACGAATTT